ATTCACTTATAAAGGGCATAGGAAGGAAAGAAAATAAGAAGGCCTATTCTAGCTTTTGCAATCAATGATTCTTTGCAATCAACTGACTTTTATTATCCAAACATATTGTTGTTATTAAAATGAACCTCAATAAAACTACGGGCACTGTGTACAAATAAAAAAAGTTGATGATAGATAACTAGCCCTGAATACACAAAGCCAGCACGGCATCACAGGTCATGCTGTACCAACGATTCACTTGATTCTGCAACTCAACACATCACGACAGTACAGGTGGAGAAGACTGACAGCGTTTGTCGTGGGAAAATTCTTCTCCAGGATGCATTAAAAGCTTGAATAAAGCTATGTTGATTTTTTGTTAATGAATCACAAAGTAAGTAGCTATATTCTTCGAGGAGGACTTCTCTGGTTTTTTTTCCTAGAGTAAAGGATGTCATTTTTTAAAAGTTAAAGAAGTCGTACTAGCGGCATTTGAAACAACTGCTGTCTGTGGCGTATTTCAAATGCACGGTTCCTCCTTTGGCCTTGTAAATTACGCCTCCTGCCACGTGTTGTGCAAAGTCCTCCAAACCCATTTGGAGCCCACCTGAGAATCTCTCTTGAAGAGTCAAGTAAGCATTACAGCAATCACATGTTGTTAACCAATTGTTTGCTTACTCAAAGCAGTCCTCATGTCATTTTCTCTAAATAGTTGAAGTTTTTAAAGTTTTCTCAAATCTGTGTTTCTTGGCATTTGCCTAAGAGAAGACAGCAGATGCTTACTTATTTTACATAACAGTTAAGCATCCAACTTCCCAACCTTACGCATTTATAAATGCGTAATAATGCGTATAAATTCACACAATTCATGGCTGTTTTCTTTCCACTTATCTTATTGAAAACTTAATGTTTCTTTCATGACAAAGGGCTTTAGCATTTTCCTTTGTAATTCTGAAAATATTAACTTTCTTTATTAAGCATTGACTATACATTGGTGGTTAATGCTATCCAAAGGGGGTGTACCTTGGTGATTTATTTTTCTTTTTATCATTACTGGTTTCACTAATTCTCGCAAGAAAAAAATTTCTTCCTATGACTTAATAATGGATTGCTACATCTTACTAGAAATCAATCTATATGTTTATTACTTTAGGAAATGTTATAAAAGCGAGACTGGTATTCAGCAGAGGTGGGAAGAGAATAAATAGGATTATTTCCCCCTTACTGGACAGAGGTGGCTATGTGCGATCTGGATGAGGAGCAGAGAGGGAAGGAAGAAAGTGAAGGGGCTACAGATCCAGGGAATCGTAAGAAAAAGAAAACACACACATCAGAATCCCCATCAATTCTGGAGGTTTATACCCACTCTGGAGAAGGAACTATAAGATGGAGTTGAATATGGCTTAGCAATTAGATAAAATTTAGCTCATAAAGGTGTTTTAATAGTTCCCTGAAAAATCTTGACAAATTAAAATTACAATGCAACATAAGATTCTGCTAATAACTGTTGATAATAATTATACAAAGCTTATGATTAAGGAGACAGTTGTGGTAGAGTGGGAAGAAAACTAAATGTATAGCCAGTTAATGAGATAATGGGTGTGAAAGCGCTGCTATAAACTTCAAATAATTTCGAAACATTAGCCATCATTATTTTTATTATTGATCTGTGACCAACTAGAAATCAAAAATAAAGTTGTATGTGTGCACGTCTGTCTCATAAGTATTCAATCAGAACTGGTTAATTACAGTATCACTGTAAAGCAGGGTTCCCCAACCTCGGCACTGTGAGGTTTTAGGCTGATAATTCTTTGCTATGGGAGTCTGTCCTGTGCATTGCAGGATGTTTAGCAGCATCCCTGACCTTTACCCACTAGGGACCAATAGAACTTCCGTCTCCTCCCCACTCAATTAGTGACAACCAGAAATGTCTCTGGACATTGCCAGACATTGCAAAATTGCGTCTGGCTGAAAACCATGTCAAAGCATGAGAAAAATCTAGAAATTATATTTATGGCTCTCCTACACAAACGAACGATGAGAGACAGGCAAGATAAACTGGAGCTAGATGTCTGTCACTAGGCAATGTGGCTATTGAACGCTTAAAATGTAGCTAGTCTGAAATGAGACACGTTGTAAATGTGAAATACACACTAGACTTGAGGGCTTAGTATGAGAAAAAGGGTGCAAAACATTTCAATAATGTTTTACATGGATGACATGATAAAGTGATAATATTGTGGATACAGTGTGTTAAAATAAAATACATTATTAAAAATAACTGTTACATTTTAAAAATGTGGCTATTAGAAAAGTTAAAATTACATATGTGGCTGGCACTATGCTTCTACTGGGCAGTGCTGAACTTGTGCAAAAAATCACCCATCTTTCATACATTCCAGGCAGCCTTTGTTGACAAAAGAGCTCTGCCCTCAGTTTTCTCTTTGCATTCTCTACGCTCCCCTAGGATGACCTCCAGTCTTACTGCTTCAATGAGATTACTACTCATAGACAACTTACTGCCCAACACTAACTCTAGTTCAGAGCTCTAGTGAAACCGAGATCCACATATGCAACCATCAACTTACAACCCCACGTGGACATCCCAGAGGAAGCCCAAACTGAAATGATCCTCATTCCCAAAATGGCTCCGCCTCGAGGATGCCCCATTTTAGTAAACGGTCCTTATTGACACAGATGCTCAAGCCAGGAACCTGAAAGTCATCCCTGAGTTCTCTCTTCTCCTTCGTCCACTTGCAATCTCTCACAAAGTCTTGCTTCGTCTACCTCCTAAACATTTCTGGAATCCTCCCTTTTCCTACCCCCTGGCTAGGCCAAGTCATCACTCTTTCTCCCCATGTCAACTCCGTTTCCCTTTTACGCCCCACCCTTCCCTTCTTAACACTTAAGCTACAGATAGGAAAGACAGCGTCAAACAAACATAGTTCTATTAGAACATCATACGACATCAAGTACGGTGCTTTCTGTTCATTGTTGTATCTCCAGTTTATTGATTGATGAAGGGATGAAGGTTGCAATTTATTAAAAAGCTGGACTACAAAAACAATGGGTCCATTAACATATGAGGCCTAGGAAAATATCAGTCCTTCTGTTAAATATCAGTGCTTTCAGATTGACACAGTCTTAGGATTCTAGAAGTGGGGGAAACATGCTTGGGGACCATGTGCCCTGTCCTCTCACCCTTCACAGGTCTATTTGTCATGCCTAAATTCACACTGTCGACTTTCTACACACCGGGTCAGGAGGGAACAGCTGGAGAGTATCTTTTATAACCCCCAGCTCTGCAGCAACCTGACATTTTCCATCTTCAGTGGCATAGGCCCAGAGTATCGACAGTTCCAAAGCTACCGTGAAAAGCAGCTAAAATTTATGCAAAGCTAAGAACAACTGTGATTAACTGAACTTTTTCTGAAAGAAAGTTATTCTCCAAGAACACACGTTCAAGGTAAGCACTACGACCTTCCCCCAAGTCTCCTCTCATTAGGGATCCTCGATTCACCTCCTTGCCTAAATCAGCCCTCGTTTCCTAGTCCGCGACTAGTTTGAAAGGGGCCAGGATGGACTATGGCAGTGTCTATCCTAAGTAGTAAGTTATAACTGCTACTGAGCTGGAAGTTTAACAAAGTCAAGAGTTTCACAGATGTGACTGATGTTTAGGGATTCCAGGTGTAGGCTAAGGAAGGAGGAACTTGCAATATACACATTAGAGAACAGGTAGACACAAAGGCAAACCCTAGCCCTGTGTGTCCATCCATCTTTTGCTACCGGCTCTCCTCTAAGCGGGGAGTTGCAATGTGGGTAGGTGGGACATGGTGATGTGAGATGGACCAGGCAGGAGCTCAAGAAGACGGCCTGTCGAAGCCCGGGTTACCCCAACGTCTGAGGGCCCTGTGTAGGTCTCAACATGTTCAACTGTTTTTTTTTTTTCAATTGCCTTATCTAGAAATTATACAAAACACCATTCTTTTACACTATGAGGAAGGGAGTCTTGACTAAAGGAATGTTAGGAAACTTTTTTTTTTAAGTATTTTCTCTTCATTTTTTCCTCCTTTTATAGCCCAGTAAAGGAAACAACGGCAATTACCAGGTGCACACCAATTTAGGCAGATGGATAAAGAGATTTAGTGATGAAGCGAAGTTTTTCTGAACTAGATGCCCTGTCTCTTTCTAGAAATGAGTCAAAGAATGGTAGGTAACTTTCCAAAGCCCATCTTTTTCCCTTCAAATCTGGTGAGTCTTTCCCATAACAAGGTTCAATACTTCCATATCTCAGCAAAAGCATCAGTTTTGGGTAACAAGAGTGAGGTAGCTGAGGTGTAACAAAAGGACTAGTGAGCTTGGGAGAAAAAGAGGGCTGACTCCCAGCTTCACCATGAGGTCTTTATGGGAGCTTAGGCAAGTCACTCATCTCTCAAGCCACACCTTCTCAACTGGGGTGACATCTCCCCCAAGGGGACAAAAGTTGGTTCAGGGGTGGGGAGTGAGAGATCTTACTCTTTTCATGTACAAAGCACAGACAGACATACAGTACATAAACAGACATACAGTGTATCTGTGGTATTAAAATTTCATAGGAAGGAAGACTAGGGAAAAATAATGTCTAAAAAGGCTCCTGGGCTGGGGTGGAGTGATAATGAACAAAACAAAAACTTTTCTAAGCCTTCATTTCCTCAACTGTAAAAACAGGTTGGCATCACCCATCTTAAAGGATCATTGTGATATAACTGTATCTAAATATATACAAAGAAAACGAGAGACTGGAAATAACGCAGGCAAGAAAACCAACCAAAATTGTAGAATGCTTATTAAAATGTAACTAAAAACACAAAGATCCAAGCAAATATAGATTCATACCATCCAATGCTCAACTGTATTAACAAGATAATTTTCTTGTCACTAGCCATTTTACCAACTGAACACCTAAGATCCAAAAAGAAAACATGTAGTAAAGTCAAATAATAAACACAGGAAGAATCTACGAAGGTGGCAAAGATACAAACCCAAAACACCAATGTTAAGCCCTGCCAAGTCTGTTTCAATTTTGTCATAAATGTCTCCCGAAGCAAAGTCAACAGCAATGGTCCTTGTCTCCACTTTGAATTTTTCTCCTAGGAAAGAAAACACAAATGGAGAGAGAGAGGGAAAATTAATACAGCGCAATTCAGATTAAAGCATTTGATGACATTACTCTTTCAAACTCTTTTTTTTCCTCTCAATTTGACATGAAATTTAGACCAGGATAATTTTAAGCAATCCCGAGACCATCTAAGAGATGACATAGGGTCAACACAACAGTTCTGTAATAAAAATCCCAATGTTATGGGGGCTGGCCCCGTGGCTGAGTGGTTAAGTTCACGCGCTCTGCTGCAGGCGGCCCAGTGTTTCGTTGGTTCGAATCCTGGGCGCGGACATGGCACCGCTCATCAAACCACGCTGAGGCAGCATCCCACATGCCACAACTAGAAGGACCCACAACGAAGAATACACAACTATGTACTGGGGGGCTTTGGGGAGAAAAAGGAAAAAATAAAAATCTTTAAAAAAAACCCAATGTTATCACAGAGCTGGCTCAATGTTCCTTAATCAGTTCTCCTTCCATAAGTCAATAATGACTACTTTTTAGACTCTTAGGTACAAATAATAAAACATGAGTCACACCATAATGTTATATACTCTTTAAATGTCACTGGTTTTGTGATTTTAATTGCAAATTGATGCTTCATAATTTCAGGAAGAAGTCTTTATGCTGCAAAATATTTTAAAGTGTGATATGTTAAAACAAAAAGTCCATGTTACCAAAATGGAAATAAAAATGAATATGATCGTAACGGAATTTAAGAGCTGGTTAATAGTTAATAGTCACTACATTTAAAAATCCACACAAAAGGCACAGTAATAGAGCTACAAAGTGACACAAGAAAGTCCTCAGCGTTTTACTTTGCACAGCACCATTAAGGTCCAAAGAGACCTAACAGAGATAACAGATTCAGAAATGAGACCTCATTGGAGGCCACGTATAATGTTTACTTCTGCCTTCACGAGCGAGTCCCTTTGAGAAGATGGCAAAGACTTGGAGGTCACCCAGATATGGGTACCAATTTCATTTCCACATTTATTTGCTAAACGGCTTTGAACAAGTTCCACCTCCTCTTCGAGCCTCAGCATCCTCTTGCGAAAATGAAGGTAATACTACTCAACTTAGGGCGTGAGGCTCAAGTGACATCAACCGGCTTACTCCGTAATGTTCATCTCCCCTGCTCCCCTCCACTAACCCCACTCTCACTTCACTTAGTGAAGTTCAGGAGGCTAAGAATGCTTATTCTTTGGAACTTGACGAGAATTCAAAAGAATTAATTTAAAAATCCAGCTTCCGAAATTAAATTTGCCTTCATTTGAAGTCAGTGTCGGCTCACGGCACAGTATGGACACTTAATTCACACAGGAGGTTTCAGTTCTTGATCTAAAAGGATTTACGTCTAAAACTAAAAGGCTGGTTCACAAGAGATTTGATTCTTAGTTAGACTCAATGAAAAGTATTGACCCTAAATAGGAATCCATGAATAAACTAGAGAGGATAATAATTGGCCGGGAAAATGCCTTATCTGGCATCAAAGGTGTACTTACTATTCCAATATAAATGAGTTATTATATGTGTTCATGTAACAGAGAGACCAAACACAGCACTGTCCTTCCCAGTAGCTGGAGCCACAAGCCTTCCTAGAAAGGTTCACAGAATTCACCAGCAGCGAGGAAAGACCACCACCTTTACCAGAGCCCCAGATTCACAAGAAAAAACGCCAAAAACAAAGGCTGAACGGCACCTTTTAGTAAATGTGACTTTATTCAGGGATAAATTTATCTATTTATTTTGAGAAAAGCAAAGGATGTTTCCACACGAACACTTTATACTGACATTTAGGAAAATTTCTCTCTAGCAATAAAAGCTACCTCACACCCCCTGAATCAAATTCACTCTTTTAAATCTCACAGGATTTGGCGAATGTACTTAGATTGTAGAGCCTTGTAGAGATATGCTGCTAAAAAAAATATTCAGTGACCCTTTTGGAAAGAATGTTTAATTAACAACCCTCAAGTAAGCTCTTTCTTTGTATTCGCATTAGGATACGTAAAATGGCTTCTGGTGCAAGTTTTTCCAGATAGTTAACAATTTGGACTTATACCTGGATTACCTTGAATCAAGTTCTAGTCCAGTTAACACCGCTTTCTTCCTCTTAGCTCTTCTTCACTGCCTCTTAGTGAGCTTTTTCTTTTTTAGCATAGGTCACTCCCCTCCTCACAAACCTCCAGAGAGTTCCATCTCAGAGTAAGAGCCGAAGTCTTCAGGAACAGCCCCAGGACTTCTCTGAGCTCATCTCCACCCACTTACTCTCCTCCTTGCTCCCCGGCTCTAGCCACAGAGGCCCTGGGCAGAACGTTCTCCAAAGACACTCAGGGCTTTTATGCTTTCTGTTCCCTCTGCCTCAAATGCTCCTCCGCATTCCTTGTCTGCTGGGTCTTTGAGAAAACGTCACGTTCTCAGAGAAGCCTTCCTTGACCACCCTTCAAAAATGCGACACTCCTTCCTAGCGCTTCCTGCCTCTCCCCGTTTGATTTCATTCTGTCGCACTGACCACCCTCCAATTTACTACGTATTTTAATAGTGCCTGTGTGCGTTGCTGTCTGCCCGTCCTAGAATCAAGCTTTGTAAAGACAAGGACTTGGGTCTGTTTCGTTTAGTGGTTCAGCAACGTCACAAAGGATCTGGGGTCTTTGCTCCCTCCTCCCTTATTCCCTTAGGCTTGCTCCCCTCCTGGTTTCAAGAGGGCCATCGCCAGTCCGCGCGTCCCATGCAGATGGCAATGTTCAGAGGCAGACATGGGGCGTCCCCATTCTATGTCCCTTCTATAGAGTGCGGAAACTTCCCCAGGAGAGTCCAGCAGGCTCCCTTCACATTTCCTTTCCCAGGGCTATGGATATGCACACTCTGACCAGACCCCACGGATGGGCTTTGAGGATTCCAGGAACTGCTCCCCCAGCTCCACCAAGAGTATGAGTCAAAAAGAGCAGCACATATGTAAGAATAGGACAGGAGACGCTTCCTTCTGGGCCCAGGCAGTCAGAAGAGAACTATGACGGGTGTTCTACAAGGCTGAGGTGGGAGGTGGCTGGCTTCCTAGGAATGGGGGAAGTAAATCTAGGCATCGTCCCCTTCCCATAGCCTCATCTGACCCTGCCAATGGACGCCAACACAGATGAACAGGAATCCTCTCATTTTAAACATCAGCACAAGGATGCGTTAAGCACCTGGAACATAAGTGAGTCCCACAAACACATAATACAACCTTCATTTCCATCTTCACTATCTCCCCAACCCAAGGCTCCTCATAAGACCGTCAGCGCACAACTTGGCAACAGCACACTGTGGCGGAAGAAGAACTTTACCTAAGCTTTTGGAGAGGGCCTTCTTCTGAGAACTCTGATTCTCGCCCACCACAAAGGCCCAAGTCTTTCCCCCAGGGCAGGAGCTGTAATAAGTTAAAATCAATACCCTACAGGTGTGCGGGATAAAGATAACTGAATTTGGAGCTTGCAATGGAAAGACATGAGCCACTCAATTGCCCCACCAGGGAAATTCTGGTTGCCCCAGCTGCTGGGAGTGTAATCAGCAGAAAGCTCTCAGGTGTCAGCCCCTTTGGGGATTGCGTCAGCTTCACAGAGTTGCCTGGACCGAGATCATGCCCTTCCCAGGACGTCTACACCCAATGACTGATTGACGATGGAGTATAAAGCCATTGGACAGCTTGTACCTACCAGGTTCTGATTCCAAAATTCTAGTCTATCATGCTATTTTTCTGTTCTTTCCTAATGCCCTAGTTTTAATTATTCTAGTTTTAATATTTCTAGTAGTGCAAGCCTCTTTTATGGTTCCTCCCTTTCAGAAGTTTATGGTTATCCTTACTTGTTTACTGTCAGTTTTTACTGGAGTTGCATAAAACATTTCAATTAAATTTATGAAGAATGACAATGTGGCATTCCCTCCAGGCTCTCCATTTATTCAATACCTCACAGTAAAATCTTCCGGTTGTAAATTACTAAAGAACTCAAGAATCCCATTATTAGAGTTACTACGCACCATTATGCAAAGATACTCAATACTGTTGATGATTCCTACTGACTGAAACCATTTCGTATTTGAAACTGTATAGGCTGGCATCTTGCTCCTTACAGTTGTGGCCAAATATAATCATGCCCCCACCCCCTTTTTAGCATTGAAATAATTCTGAGATGGTCTTGGTCTCTCGGCCTCGTGGCTAAGACCAAAAACTAAGCAGCGAAAAGCTCTGATGATTGATCTGAGCTGTTCAAGGCAGACAACTCACTACACGTGGAGGCAGAAAATCAGCTCTGGCTTAAAAAGTGGGGAATGAAGCAAAGAAATGGCTGCGCTGATACCACTCATTCACTCCCTTTTTACCTACTATTCCACTGAAAACCACATAACCACAACTGTGGAATAATAGAAAGCAAGTGCTATTTATAACTATCGAGCTATATAATAATGAATGTCTTCACTGCCTCAAGCCATTCTATCACCTCTGAGTATGGGTGCCCCAGTTCTACAGTCACATTGCCATTTTGTACTCAGAGGATCCTGAATTAGTTCAAGGTCAAGTCCAGAATTGACGGAGAAGGAAGTGCACTCGTAAGTAGTCTCAAGATGCTGCCAAAACACCTCTTAATATTAAAACCAACGCATTTTTAGGTTCAGACCTAGAAAGGTCATGAACATATTCAGAATAACCTTATGTTTAACATACTTCTAGGCCTGGCCATCATTATTTTCATTTTGCTCAACAAATTGATATCTCTTAAATTTAAATCTTTCTCTAAAAATAATTTTATAGGTCTTAAAAAGACTTTCTTTGTTTTTCCCCCAGGTGGCTAGGACATTAGGTTTGAGAATGCTAGGAAAGAAATCTAATCTATACAGACTCATGGAATATTTACAATTTTTCTATTAATAAAAATCAAAAATATATTGATTCTCCTTTGTGCCTACATCTGCTGCAAAGACACAATCTGTCTTCCCCCCGAAGTTCTAGGTACT